TGAGCGCATGGCCTATCGATCCTTTAGCGTTTCAGGACTTGAAGCTAGAGGTGTCAGAAAAGTTACCACAGGGATAACTGGCTTGTGGCAGCCAAGCGTTCATAGCGACGTTGCTTTTTGATCCTTCGATGTCGGCTCTTCCTATCATTGTGAAGCAGAATTCACCAAGTGTTGGATTGTTCACCCAGCAACAGGGAACGTGAGCTGGGTTTAGACCTCACGACGGTGAGGCAGGTTAGTTTTACCCTACTGATGCACCGCCGTCGCAATGGTAATCCAACCCAGTACGAGAGGAACCGTTGGTTCGCACAATTGGCAATTGTGCTTGGCTGAAAAGCCAGCGGTGCAAAGCTACCGTGCGTGGGATTATGACTGAACGSCTCTAAGTCAGAATCTGTGCTTGCAGCGACGGTGTATGCCTCCTCGGATGACACAAGGCTGTCGATAGGGCCAGCCGGTCTGGCCCCGAAAACATAAGTTCGGAGTTGTCTCTCCTGCGGCGGAGCACCGACCCCGTGGGGGTCTCTTCATCGCAATTTCTTTCGCTCGGGGAGTCAAACCCTTTGCGGACGACTTAGACAGGGAACGGGGTGTTGTAAGCAGTAGAGTGGCCTCGTCGTCATGATCTGTTGAGATTTGGCCCTTTGTTCCAAAGGTTTCCCCCACCTTCTGGCTCCCCACCCCTCCTCAAATGTTTGAACAACGGTCATCTGCGTTTGAAGAGCGCCGTCGCCCTTGTATAGGGGCCGATGAGCTGCTTTCTTTCATGATGAAAATAAAATTCTGAATCTTCTCATTCTGTAGATAAAAGTTTGCTCAAGCAAGTATTCAATCAATTTAATGGAAGATTTTTAGTAGAGAGGCAGAGACGGAGGGCGTCTGGCCCCCCCTGCGTACAAGCGTAATCGTGGTGGGGGGTGCGCGAAGCATGCCCCTGGTGTTTCGGACCGGGAAAGCCAATTCTCGCCCTATCTGGCCCTCCCCATGTGTGTGCGTAATATTATGGCTTGGGAACAGAATACCCACTTCTTGCCCTACGTGGCCCTCCCCACGCGACTGCGTAGTCATGATCTTGGTGGGGCCGCGCGTCCCCCAGCTTTGGGAACAGAGAGGCCACTTCCTGCCCTTTGTGCCCCCCCCCCCAAATGATGTTCATGGCGGGGGCAAACGGCCCACTTCGTGCCCTATGCAGCCCTCCCCGCTCGTGCACGTGATCATGGCGGCCTGCTTTCCCGAAGGCGGTACCTGATTCGCTCCATGGTGTTCTCCGGGACATGCACGGACATGCTTATGGCCGTCGGGTTTTCGGTCTCGCTTCTTCTGGCGGATGCAGTTTTTTTCGGGGCCGACCTAAATTGAAATGACGATTTTGTCAAGTCATCCTTGACTTTTCTTTCCCCCCTTCTCTTTTGGAGTCCGTGTCCGGTCCGCTTCTTTCTGGAGGCGGTAACCCCACAACGGACACACGATTCTGCCAGACTTCCCGTAAACTTTTCACTCCCATACCGCGGCGTGATCTGAGTCACTAGGCACAGAAGCTGCTTGGCCTTTTCTCTGTTTGTTTCGTCCCTTTTTTATTTTTTTTTCAATGTATTTATTTTTTTTCCCCGGCCCTTCCCCTTATCCCTTTGTGTGTGGAAGGGACGGAGATGGGACGGACTTTTGAGGTGTCGAATTTTGTGGGGGCAGCAGATACCGCGCACTGCCACTCGGGCGTAGGAACGGCCCCGAGAAAAGGGGGTCTCCCAGGATCGAAGGTCCAAAGGCGTCTTATTGAGAGCGCAAAGGGATGAGGTCCCGAGGGGGACATCGGCATTGGGGTCTGTCCAGTCAGCTTGCTGGAAAGGGACATGTGCAGGTTCCTCGGCGGATGGCTCAGTGAGCACCCTTTGGATGTGCCAAACATTCGGTGGTTGGCGGTTCGGAGTCCCCTTTGCACTCTTACAGGGGCCTGCGTGCTTAGCAGCCCCCTTGCAGTCGACGAAGGCGAMGTTCCGGGCGTGGGTTTTGGGACCTTGTACTCGAGTTACGAGGGACTCTCTTCACACGCTTTGGGTGGTTTCCAGTTCGCGAGGGATGGGCGAGTCGTGCTTTGGTGGTCGAGCGAACATTTTTGCGGCGCCGTTCGGGTCCATGGTCGTCTCTCTCGGAGGGCTTCTTTCACGACAGCTCGGTCGTCGTTGGCGGCGGTCGAGGTTGTCGGGGCTTTCCTATGCCGTGGTGCCGGGTTGTGGATCGTTGCGTTCACCCTCGCTCATCGTCTTGCGATCATTGGCGCCTGATCGCCGACGGCGGTCTGGTTGGCAGTCGTTTGCAGGGTGTGGAGGCGGAGGTGCCCGTCACCGGCTCTCAGCTTCGGCACCATCGTCCGGTAGGTTATGGGGAGAGTTGTTGCGGCTCTGTTGTGGTGTCGTCTTCGTGTCCGCACTCACAACGGCGCGTTCTGTTTGTGTTGAGGGGGTGTCGTGACTTGGTGAGGACGCTCGGCGCTCTTCGCCATCCGAGCGGCGCCATTGAGCGGTGGCGCAGGTGGCCTCGGCCATGCACGCGCTGCTTACCGTATGCGAGGGCGGAGACTTGTGGGATGCGTGATGCACCCTCCGACGGCGTCGCGAGGCTGGGCCCGTCATCCGCCCGACTTTTTGGAATGCGTGCTTGTGCCCGTCGTGTCCCCCATCCTGTGGTCTCGGTATGCTGCACACCGTGACGGATCGCGTTGCGTCGTGGTTCCGGTGCGTTTGGGTTGTGGGCTTTGAAGGCTACTGTCCTCTGTCTCCTGGGCTTCGCCTGCGTCGAGTGCTGTTGGTGGTGCCCGCAGCAACCGGCGGATGTGGAACCAGGGGGGAGAGGGGTTGTGTTCCTTTTGCGCCCTTGTGCACAGGTGGAGGCTTTCCGTCCGTCCGGGCTTGTTAGAAGCGTGGTGCATTCGTTTCTCTCTTCACCCGTGTTTCTCGATGGAGAGATGAGGCTGTGCACCTCGCTGTCGGTACGTTTTGGGCGGGCGGTGGTATCCGGCTGTGGGCCGAAGATGTCGGTGGTTCCTTCGCGCGCGCCGTTGTTCGGGTAGTGTGGTTAACTTGCGATCTCTGGGTGTGGTGTGGGCGGGTGCTGTTCGCAGCCAATCTCTTGGGCNGCGATCTCTGGGTGTGGTGTGGGCGGGTGCTGTTCGCAGCCAATCTCTTGGGCGGGTGCGGCGGGCTGTGTTGCATTGTGCGGTACCTTGCCGTTGGAGATGGCCTACGGAGGGAAGTTCACCTGCAATTCAAACAGCCGGACTTCGCGGTGTCTCGGCAGCTCATTGCACGTTCCACGATTGTTCGATGTTCTTTTGGTAGTCTGTCCGGCGTGACGTGCCTACGTGCGCCTCGGCCATCGCTCCTTGCGGCTTCTCGTCACACCCGCTACCTGGTTGATCCTGCCAGTAGTCATATGCTTGTCTCAAAGACTAAGCCATGCACGTCTAAGTGTGAACACTCTGCACTGTGAAACTGCGAATGGCTTGTTGTGGCTCATCTGCCACCTGGCGGTCCGCACAGCGCAATGGCAGGCCAATAAAAGTAATTATCGGGACGAGCGTTGTACTGCGGGATGCGGCCAGGTGGAAACCATCCCTCATCTCTTCGTCCCCTGTCCGGCTCTCCAACAGTTTTGGATGTGGTGGGCTGCAGAAGTAGGAAAGTACTCTCCTTTCTGTGTCACGGAGGACCATGTGGCACACATTTTACTGGGCGCCCTGATCAAGGTGGACAGGAAGGACAAGGGGGAGCTCTATGCCTCGGAGGTGATACGGGCGGCTGTTCTCTGGGCCATCTGGACCCTTCGAAACGAACGGTGTCGACAAGGCAGGGAGATCACCCTGCAAGCTTTACGCGCACGGGTCTTGGAGAGCCTCCGCACGGCCATGTCCACTGAGGCTCTGCGGAATAGGAGAGCCAAGGATCACGGTCTGACGAAGTTGTGGGCCGTCTGGGGTAAGTATCCAGGCTTGGTACAGCAGGATGGGAATCCGGGGCTATGGAAATATGGCCCGGCCGTGTGCAGTCACGGGTCTGCTTAGGACTAGGGTGAGTCGACAGATGCATAGTAGATGGCTTGAGCCTGAGTGATTTTGTGTGTTGTTTTTTTCCTTGAGGTATAGTAGGGTAAACGGTGAGGGGAGGGAGGGGGAGGGGAGGAGTAGTTGCTGTAATGAGGAGGATTGGTATTAACACAGCAGTACGCAGTCAACAGGGGTCTTTCTCAGTCCTGGTTTTTTAGTGTTAACAGGTGTAGTGCACAGATACGACGATAGGGGAACCAGTGTGATTAAGAAGGATAGGGAACACGAGGTATAGGTGGAGTAAACTGAGTATAGTGAGTGAATGGAACGGTTTGGTTGTGAGGCTAGTTGACTGGGCAGGAATGCCCCCCCGCAGAGGAGTGGAAGGTCGAGACGGGCTATGGGGGGGTCTGGGTACCGTCTGGATGTTTCCCGCCCCTCATGCCCCGCCCCGACGTCCCTCCTGTA